CTCTAGGTGTCCTTCACGGGGTTGGGAGGTGGGAATTGGTGCGTCCATCCTCCGCAGCAGCTACCTTTTGACATCAGACTCACTTTTGGCTATTCATTTGTCCATGTCCCCTGCAGTTAGTACATAAGACAAGGGATCCCCTAGAACGTAGAAATAAGGTGGTAAGGTGAATGTAAAAGCATTAAAGATACAAACAATGGACACCAGCAGAAGTGCAGAAGATTCTCTGTAAAGGGATTCCTGCCCAGTTAAGGCATCTAGTATGTAAGTTCAGAAAGGGCAGGATTCAAATCTGATTGTAACAACAAGACCCGAATCCTCCTAAGTCGTATCGCCTTCTGGCCAGCAGGAAAGCAAAAGTCTAACGCTTCTGATTACAGATCAGATGTAGCCAATGTGACCACAGCTAGCTGCAGGAAAGGTGGAAAGGGTCTTTTTTCAAAGTGGGTGTAGGAGGCATGTGTCTAACTAAAACTTAGGGGCTCTATTTTTAGGAAAGGAAGAACAGATATTGCGGGGGGAACCCACAGACTCTACCACAGTAGGTCAGTTTCTCTAAATCTGTTCACTTCTTGACATGAGGGCACTTCTGCATGACAGCCCCCAGGATAAGCTGCCGTGAGCCCAGACTGGACAGGTGGCTAGATTCCCTCTGGAACGTTCTCTCTGTGGTCCTCGGTGAGACTACAACTCCCACATCCCATCACGCACGGAGCTCCACTCTGTTGCCTCTACAGCTCCTTCGCAGAGTTTCCCTCCTTTCCGGCCCCGGTCTCCCCACTGGAGTCCGGGTCTCCCTGACCACCCATCTGGGTGATTGTAATAATCACTTTGTTCTTTCTGCCTCCACTCTTGCTCTCCTTCAAGCCCTGCAGCCGACAGATCACTTCCTAAAGCACAAGTCCCACCATGACACATCCCTGCTCAAGAACGTCCCAGAACCATTTCCCAGTTCCTTCCCCAAAGTCCAAAGTCCTTACAATTCTGAAGACTTTCTATGAATAGGTCTTTGTCTGAATTTCCCTCACGCACATGAAGCTCCAGCAAGAAAGGGCTGCTCACCCTTCCTGGGATACGACTGTGCCCTTCGGCTCCTCTGCCTGGGCTCCGCTCTGCTGGCATCTCTTCCCTCCTCAGCCTGTCTAAATCTTACCTGTCTCGCAAAGCTCAGGTCAAAGCCCTCCTCTTCCATGGAGCCTTACCCAAGCTTGAGCTACTCCCACCCTCCCAAGCACTGTCATAGGAGTTTATGTTTCTATTACACTTGACCTGAAAGTATTTCTGCATTCCCTACTAGGGCGTAAGCTTCCACGGGGCTGGGGCCATGCTTGCTGGCATCTGGCACTAGAGCCTGCCATGTCGGTGACTCAGAATAAATGTTTGTAGAATGGATTTGCAGAGCAGGGTTAGTGCTCCATGGAAGAGGGGCACGTGGGGACTGGGTGTGAATGTGAACAGCTCACACAGTGACCTGTGAGCCTGCTGGAAGCCAGAAAGCCACGGTGACCATTTACACCACTCGGGGAGCCAACATTTTGCCTCCATCTGAATTTACAAGTGTCGGGACAGACCTTCCACAAAAGCGGAGCCCCTTCTGGGCTTGTGTTTGAGGGGCCATGTGAGGGAATGGAGTGGGGCTGGTAAGGATGTCTGGCATTACTCCCTTTTTTTTTTTTTTTTTTTCCAGAAGGATCAAAGTATGAGTAGCCATGAACATCAAAGCTTTCTGGGGGAATGAGGCATTGACAGGAAACTTTAAATTATCTAGACAAAGCTTTCATTTCTCAGTCCCAGGGCAGCAAGGTGGCTCGCTCGACGTCACAGGGCCAGAGTGTAGGGTAGCACTTCGACTGTCCCAGTTCCCTGGCTACTATTCTTTTGCTCCACTGCACGAGTCGTCCAGGTAAAAGACACCATCGATTCCCAAGGAAACCTCAAGTTTGGGGAAATACGAGGTCGTAGAGATCACACATAGATTTGTGTGTTTATTTTTATGCTAGCCATCATAAAATTATTTTATGCTTATACAACCAAAGAAGGAAGACGTGCAGTCAATTTTCAAAGTTGAAATTCTATATGTCTTAACATCCGGTGTTTAGATTTTCCCCTTCTCTGTTCATGGTCACCTTTTTTCCTCGGGAAAGTATCAAAATGGCTTTTCCTTACAACCTACTATATACAAAATAAACAACAAGGTCCTACTGTATAGCACAGGGAACTATAGTCAATATCCTGTAATAAACCATAATGGAAAAGAATTTGAAAAAGGATATATATATATATATATATATATATATATATATATATATATATATATAAAACGGAGTCACTTTGCTCTACAGGAGAAACTAATACAACATTGTAAATCAACTATACTTCAATTTAAAAAACACTTTTTTAATGGCTTTTCTGATTTTCCGTTGGGGCTGAGAAGCCTTACTGGGAGCACCCATTCTCAGTCCAGTTTGTAACTGCCTAGATTTTAGTGCAGTAGATAAGACTTGGGACCACAGACTACTGAAAGGCCCTTTGTTCGTGGACTACAAGGAGGGTCACTCAGTTTATCTCATTCATTATGCGACCCGACTTTTGAGTTGCCAGGTTGAGGCCCGGGGCAACATGTTGATGGAAGAGAACATTAAGCACCAAGTTGTTCCGTGCTTGTGTTCATTCCAACCCACTTTCACCTCCCTTAGCCCGCGAAGGTTATGACTACGGCCCAATTCCCTAGTGACTCACTCCAGGAAAAGGACATGTGACAAGGACCTGGCTCTCATGGGACTGCTGGTCAGCGGTGCCAAGACAGAGATGGCATTGTTCAGAGAAGCCTCAGGAAGTCAAACATCCGGAGACAAGTGTGCATGGACAACTCGCCCCACAGGCTGGAAGGGAACGTATTTTTCCCCACTGATCAATCTGTGTATTTACCTCTGCAAGGGCACTCAGAGGACTTCCGGAATGTTTATTCCCTTCGGTCTCAAATGGAGCCTCTCAATGGGCCAGGAAAGGAAGGGACCAGTGTTCCTGGAAGCCTGCTAAATGCTGGGTGCTTTACCTGTTGCCACATTCAATTCCATCCCCCCAACAGCCCTTTGAAATAATCATTATGGCCATTCCCGCTTTACAGATGAGGAAATTTAGGAGGTGGGTGGCCAGGCCCAGCCAGCTACTAAATGGCGGACCCAGGAATCAAACCTGGGTCTAGGTTGACATTGAAGGGTATTTCCAATGCCAGAAAACAGGGTCCTTTCCATGCTGGTGCCCAGACTTTTGATAAAAGAAATTTCCACATATTGAGCTACAGAGAAGTCATTCTGACTTTATACATGAGTTAACTTGAATTTGATGCTAACTACAATAGCCTCTTTGTGGCCTATCAAACCTATATTGTACATCTGCTTTAATTGTTAAAGAAAAGGGCACACTGACCAGAAGTAAAGAACATCCATGTTAAAGATTAAATGCCCCCCTTCATACGATGATAAGACTCCCTTCCCGGGTGCCAAGGCCACACTGTACGTGCTGTACGTGTACGTGTTGGTCTGCTGTTTTTTGAAACCTTGAAGAAATGTAGCCCTGACTTGTTTAATGTTCTTTTTCCTGTCCAGATATAAAACTGTGCTGAAAACCCTGCTTCTCTGGAGCGGTTTCTCAGAATAATCTGGAAACCTGGCTTCCGGGCTAGTCCTCAGTTTGGCTCAAATAAAACTCTTTTCTATTCTTATTATTGATGGTTTATTGATTATTTTCGTCAACACGTCCTCTGAGACAAGTAAGAGCAGTCACTGACCGGATGCTTCTGGAAGCTTTGTCTCTCCGCTGCCTTCCAAACACAGCTTTGTTCTGACCTCTTTCTCTCCATCTCTTTACCCTTCAAGACGCTTGCAAATGCCACTTTCCCCATGAACAGTTCCTGAGCACACAGTTCCGAGAGATTTCTCCCTCCTTCTCTCTTGCCCTCTGACCCTCTCAGCCTGGGATCCATGCTCAGCCCTCACAGAGACTAGAGCTCAGGTCCTTTAAACTTGCACATGCGTTTGTAAACTCCCAGGTGGGCTCTAAACTCCTCAAGGGCGTGGACACTGGCCTTGCGGAGCCCTGAGAAGGCTTAGCATAACAAATAATAACAGGTACTGAATGATTCCTGGTGCATTTTTAGGAGAGGCTATGGAAGTCCCCGTGATTCTTTTAAGTAGAGAAGCATGGAAATCTCAGACAGGTGGTTGCTATCTCTGGCTCTTTAGCCAAGATTCACCTTTGCACCAGAGTCCATAATTTTCTCCCCAACTTTCTGGGGGTCTCAGAGGAGACTGCCATTGCCCTGCACAAAATCCATGCCTTCCACCATCTGCACGGGGGGCACGGGGTCGTGGGGAGCACCCTGCCCACTGGGTCCAGGGGGCTCGGCAGGAGTGGTCCAGGCTTTCCGGCAGCCTTGCCTGTTCCCTTGGTCTTTTCCCACATCTGGGTGCTCACGCCTAGCCCCTCCCCAGGGACTCCGTGATGACGGCCTAACCACACTGGCCACCAACAACGCCTCACCTCTCCTCTAGGAACACATCCGCCGGCACAAACCCCAGATCTCATTTTCTTCCCCCCTGGGATTCTGCCTGTTTTCTTTCCCCTTAACTTACTGTCTTCCCTCTCTGAGCGGCCTGTTTATCTCCAGCTCTTTCAGAAGAACGATGAGGTCTGAGCACCGATGCCCACGTGGCATGCCTGTTCCCACCTCTCCCCCCACCCCAGGTCCCTGGTCCTTTGGGGTCAGCACTACCCCTCCACGCAGCTTGCTTACCCCCCTCCATGCAGCCTCCCGCCTCTCCTTCCAGCCACACGTGGGGCATGGAGCGCACTGCAGCCGCACCCACAGACGCCCTTCCCCGGGGCCCCCTTGGGCCCCATCCACACGCAGAGGCCAGCCCTGCCCCTGGGCCTGAGCGTGCACCTGCCTGTCTCCCCCACTCAGCTGGGAGGACCCCAAAGGCATCGCCACCTCTTACCTTGATTCCTGATGCCTGGCCCTGTGATCGCCACGTAGAAGATGCTCAGTCGGTGTTAACTGAAGGTGGAAATGAATGGCAAATGAATAAATGGTCTTGGTTCTGCTCTATGAAAGCACTCAACGCAGCAGATCAATCTTACATTCACAGTTCAGTCCCTGCCAGGAGGTCCTTGCACTAGACAGGACTTGGAAGCATGGACTAGCATAGGTGCTGCATCTGGAGGGCCTTAAGTCACTGACCGGATGAGAACACAGACGGGGAAGTGACTTGCCCAAGGTCATGCGGTGTGAGCTGCAGATCAGACTGACCCAGACTCTCTGATTCCATGACAAAGGCACCGTCTCAGTCATGACTTCAGAGTAATAATACGCTTGCTTTGCTCCTAAAGGACCCTGTAATTCAGACTTAATTTCTCCCAGTGATTTCTAATTAGTGAGGTTTGTTCTTGGGCTGCTAACCGTATCTAGCATTGATGAAGCCTCCTTGGAAGTACACCTGTAGGCAGTCAGGGATCCTGGGATCCTGTTAGATCCCGCAACAGTTCCGCTTTCCCAGCAAAAGCACTAGGAACGTGTGCCAGATTGAGACAACACACCTAAGGCGTTGCTCTCCACCTCCCAGATCTGGCACTGCGAATCCCCGCCCTGCTGCCACCCTTAATCTGCTGCTTGACAGAGGCTGTTCTGGCTCCCTCTCCCCCCATTCCCCACCCAACATCGTTTCTGTTGAACCCGTCAGGTAGTTATTATCGTTTGCAGCAAACAGCTGATGCCTCCCGGAAAATTTAGCATTTGCTCTTCCCTGTTCCATTCATCTTGTGGCTTGTACATTTTCTCTTCTTTGTTATTAGCAGGGGCACTTACTGGAAAACTAGATCTCTGTCGCTTAGTGGTTTCATATGTCCCTTCTGTTCAGAACCCACCTGGAGTCAGAATCGTGTCTCTGTGACAGAACAATTGGTTGCTATGGAAATGACTGTACCACCCTGGGCACAGGCCTGCCTGCAGAGAAGCTGAGCACTGCATGCAGGGAGCGGCGGTGGAGGAGGGAGGAGGGGTCGCAGAATCCCGGCTGTGACCTGTTAGACTAGTGACTGATTTCTCTAGGCCAGCGTGGTCCCTCTGTTCCTTTTCCTCCCCAAACTGTATGTGTATGTGACTTCTCTTATCCACACACTTCCCTCCTGCCACCGTCACTAGCCACTAACCACTCCACCCAAAGAGCAAAACCTTCCCCTACCTTCTCTCTTCCACCTCCAAGTTCAGCTTAGAGCTCGCTTCCCGCTCTGGGTGAACCACACCTGGCCAATCCCTTCTCCAATCGAAACCTCCCAGTTCTAATGAATTTGCATGTAATGTATTTAAGTGGAATCACTTGCTTGGTTTCTCATTATGCTAATTTTTTTTTCCCTTCTTCTCAAGCTCCTATACTTTCTCTTCTCAATAGTACTGCGGCCCCATGAGTGCACACCTGGGCCAGTTGGGTGCATCGTCCCACAGATCCCAGGCCGGACTCTGCTGACCGCAGGTCCTTGGTAAATGCTACTCCCTGACTCCCAGAGATGACAGACTCAACCTCCAAGCCTGTCCAGTTAAACCTACTCAATCTTACTTCTTAAGGATCAAAAGCCTGGAGTGACAGGCAAATTGTATAGCTCTGGATATCGTTTTGAACATTTGACAACCGAAAGAGGGAAGAACGCTAAAGCTTCAGTTGCCTGAAATACCCTCAGCTGATAAAGAATGAAAAAGCCGTGCTTTGTTATTTAGAAGTGTTTTATTTTTGTGGGTATTAAATCAGTTTCCTGTTGCAAGTTTTTCTTTAGTCTCATTTGCCTGTCACTTGGGACAAACCCAGGGAAGCGTTTACCCCCAAGGCCCATGACCCCCTTCAGTTAACGTGGCCCAGAGACCCTCTTCTGCATTTTCACATGAAGGGCTATGCGAGACCGCCCAACCTCAGGGCAGCTCCTCGTGCCTGGGAGAGGCTGGAGCCCTTCAGAGTGCTCTCTGGGGCAAGGTTAAACTTACAAACATGAGGTGTAGATGTGGGGCCTTCCCTTTGTCCAATGGGCAACGTCTCGTAGAGCCTGGGAGTGCAGGGCCGGTGAAGTCCCCTCTTGCTGTGTGTGGCTGTAAGCAAGTCGAGCTGTGCTGGGCCAGGGGGTGAAGGAGGCAATGTTGGTTTGGGGGTCCCAACCTCCTTTTTCTGGAATCTGCCCTCCAGTCCCCCAAGGTGTGAGTAAACTGGTAGAAGTATCCCACTCAGGTGAGAAGGGCGCAGAGGTCAGGGTGCCTCCAGGGGAGAATCAACCTTGGAGCTGGACGCCACTTCCCGGAGACTCTCTGCAGGAAGCCCCGGGCACGCAGGCCAGAGCTGCCCGGGGAAGGCACGCTGGGCCCAGCAGCGAGAGTGCGGCTCGCCCCAGCACTCAGGCCAGGGCTCGTCCGCTTATGGAAAGGGGCCCTGTGCCTGGGAAGCCTGACACACCAGAGAAAGCGGGTCTGCTGTGGGGACAGGGGGGTGGGCTGTGTGTGGGCACGTGCCGAGCTGAGAGAGAGGACCCGGATGTGCAAGGGGCCTGCCTTTTCCCACCCTCAGAGCTGCTTTCATTTGGCGGGGGCGGGGGGGGGGGGCGCCCTGAGGCCTGAGGAGGTGCTGGCAGGGCGTCCTCACCAGGCAAAGGCCCAAAACAAACACCAAACCTGGATGCCCCGGGCAGGGGGGCCGTGGAAGAGCTGGCTTTGGTCCATGGCCTCAGTCGGGGACACGCCCTTGCCCCAGCCTCGTCAGCGCAGTGCCTGTTGGGAAGCTTGTCCCTGCCCTTCCCAGAGTAGGTGTGGTGAAGGCCCCTCACCAGTCTCAGCCCTTCCACAGCCCCAGCTTGAGGCGAGGCCTCTGGTCCCCATGGATGGAGGATTCGGAGAGTGATGCTGCGGTTCCTTCTAGCTCTACCCTGACTGTAAAAGAGAAGAGGAAGTGCCCCAGTGGCATCACCCGGGGGACAGAAGACCTTCCCCCAGCGCTCACTGTTCACACTTATTACCGTTACTCAAGGAGTCACTCACTGCTCGAAGGAGACACCAGAATTCAAGCTCGGGCTGTGTGGCGGCCACAGAGGGCTCCTTCTGAGCTGGCCTCTCTGGAGACAGAAGCACAGTCCAGCTTTAGAGCCCAGTGGCCCTCAGCCCTCATGGGGCACAAGGGGGAACCCGAGACAGCCAGCTTCCACATGTTCCTTGAGCAGCTGGGTGACGTGCTTGGTCTTTTCCAAAGAAATAATCTCAATGAGTTCTTCCCAGGAGAGAGGAAAAACAAAACTCAAACACCAGAGTCACAGAAATAGCCTGGGGCTGATCAGCCCTGACTGGCCGGTAGCTATGGCCTCCCACTGACAGCCTCGTCTGAAATAATAGAGGAGCCATCACAGCCCGTTTGCAAAATATGTTCCTTATGCTCTGTCAGCCCAGATCCAGGAGTCAGACACCACGCCAGATGGCTGCTTCACAGGAAAGGAAGGAGGGAAGGGAGGGAGGGAGGAAGAGAGAGAGGGAGGGAGAGAGAAAGAAAGAAAGGGAGGAAGGAAGGGAAAGAGAGAAAGAAAAAGAAAGGAAAGAAAGAAAGGAAGAAAGAAAAGAAAGAAAGAAAGGGCATAGAGGCTGGTAGAAAGGGGGACACACAGCCAGGAGAGGAAAAGGACAGGGCCGACAGGAGCACCTGGACCAGGTCTGGCTGGAGTTGGAGGTGACTGCATTATAGGAAAGATTGAAAGGTTAATATGAAACCAGCCAATGCTGAAAGAGAACAATTAGGAAGGTTAAGGGGCTTAATATTAGATTAATGGCTGCTGGAGGATAAAGTTCACAGCTTCCAGGGAAGAAGTCTGACTCAGAGAAATCTTTTTCGTTGATGACTCTTGATCTGATTTTGCTGATCTATTTTTGTCGTCCTGGTAACTGAGAGAAAATGAGCATTCATTCACATGCGATTCACTCTCCCCTTCCCTCCCCCATCCTCCCCTTTCTTCTCTCTTTCTGTTTGGGAATGTCTGATTTTCTTCAGGTTCTGGAGTGAATTTTAGGGTCCCACCTGTTCAGCATGCCATACCCCACCTGTAAGTTTTCCCCTCAGTGAGATTTGTGATGCTCTATAAGAATATTTTCTTCAGTGTTGGTTGTATTCTGGGGATATTTCAGGCCAGTAAGTGGTTTCACGGATCAATGGCTCAGCCGAGGAGAGATGTTCTGAGATAAGATAATTACCCTCAGAATAGGAGAAAATATTTGCAAATGAAGCAACTGACAAAGGATTAATCTCCAGAATTTATAAGCAGCTCATGCAGCTCAATAACAAAAAAACAAACAACCCAATCTAAAAATGGGCAGAAGACCTAAATAGACATTTCTCCAAAGAAGATATACAGACTGCCAAAAAACACGTGAAAGAATGCTCAACATCATTAGTCATTAGAGAAATGCAAATCAAAACTACAATGAAGTATCACCTCACACCAGTCAGAATGGCCACCATCAAAAAATCTACAAACAGTAAATGCTGGAGAGGGTGTGGAGAAAAGGGAACCCTCTTGCACTGTTGGTGGAAATGTAAATTGATCCAGCCACTGTGGAGAACAGTATGGAGGTTCCTTAAAAAACTACAAATAGAACTACCATATGACCCAGCAATCCCACTACTGGGCATATACCCTGAGAAAACCATAATTCCAAAAGAGTCATGTACGAAAATGTTCATTGCAGCTCTATTTACAATAGCCCGGAGATGGAAACAACCTAAGTGTCCATCATTGGATGAATGGATAAAGAAGATGTTGCACATATATACAATGGAATATTACTCAGCCATAAAAAGAAATGAAATTGAGCTATTTGTAATGAGGTGGATAGACCTAGAGTCTGTCATACAGAGTGAAGTAAAGTCAGAAAGAGAACAACAAATACCGTATGCCACATATATATGGAATTTAAGAAAAAAATGTCATGAAGAACCTAGGGGTAAGACAGGAATAAAGACACAGACCTACTGGAGGATGGACTTGAGGATATGGGGAGGGGGAAGGGTGAGCTGTGACAAAGCGAGAGAGAGGCATGGACATATATACAGTAGCAAACGTAAGGTAGATAGCTAGTGGGAAGCAGCTGCATAGCACAGGGAGATCAGCTTGGTGCTTTGTGACAACCTAGAGGGGTGGGATAGGGAGGGTGGGAGGGAGGGAGACGCAAGAGGGAAGAGATAGGGGAACATATGTAAATGTATAACTGATTCACTTTGTTATAAAGCAGAAACTAACACACCATTGTAAAGCAATTATACTCCAATAAAGATGTAAAAAAAAAAAAAAAAGAGTTAACCCAAGTATGGGTAGCCGGTGGAGGAGACTGGGGCAGGGGGTTCCCAAGCTTCCCCAACCCAGCAGCAAATCGGTTCCCCCCACCCCACCCCCCCACCCCCCCTGCAGGGAGCTTTTAACATATAGACTCCCAGGCGCCACCCGGGGCCAAGTGAATTCGAATCTCTGGAGGAGTCCTCTGGGAGTCTGTATAAAGTTCCCAAGGTGACCTCAAGACCAGCCCAGTTTGGGAACCACTGGCCCAGGCGCACAAGGAAGAAAGGCAAGGGAAGGGGGCCACAGACCCTTTACAGTGTACTTAGGTCATTTGTGTGACTTCCTAGCTCCCATCCCAGCTGGTGAGTTTCTTGGGGCAGATACTTCGTTTACTCATCTTTATAACCCCTGCACAGGGCTGGCCGCATCCAGTTTTCAAGGTCCCATTTTCAGAAGCCTGGATGGTAGAGACCTGGCCTGCACAAGAGCACAGGAGCCCAGAGACTCTCCAGTCCAGTGGTTTGCAAACTGTGCTCCCAGGCACCCTGGGGTTCCGTGGGGAGGGGTTTCAGGCTCCCGTCCACCTCTCCCCTTCACTCAGGGCAGCCCCCTCCCCTTGTACAACTTTGTGTTACCCTTATAGAGGAGAAAATGTCACCTCAAAATATGCCACCTTGACCTATTGGTCATTTTGAATGAAAGGGACTTATGAAATAGCTGGTGTAAAAAACACCCTGACCCTCCTTTGTCCTCCTGAAAGCAGGAGATGAATCTCCCATGCAAAAGGACCCTCCTTATATCAGGAGGAAGGAAGGCATCCTTATCACCAGAAATTTAAATTTCCTTATCACAGGAAATTTAGGCCCCGGAAGGCAGTATAAACAAACCCTGTTACCTCTTCACGTTTACTCCCTTGTCTTGTCAATTCTTCACAAATGTATTGTTTCTTTGTCTAAAAGGTAAAGAAGCTTCCTGCTCTGGTCACTTCCTCGGGTCTTCATTCTCCTGTGAAGACTTCCATGTACATGTGAAAAAATAAATAAAATGTATATGCTTTTCTCTCATTGATCTGTCTTTGTCAGTTTAATTTTGAGACCCAGCCAGGGACCCTAAGAGGGAGAAGGAAAACTTTCCCCTCCCTACACTAGTGCAATCACCTCTCTGGCTTCCCAGTTTCCACCCTTGCCAACCTCCAGCCCCAGCCCTTGTCTATTTTCCATCCAGTGTACAGAATGATTATTTCAAAGCATAATGCCAGTCAGGTAGCTCTTTTATTCAAGAGCCTGCATTAGATTTCCATTTCACTCACCCACTATCTATCTGAGGTCCTCACCACAGCCTAGGAGTCCCCACATGTCCTCGCCCGGCTTCCCCCTAGCTCATCAGCTCCAGCCACACTGCCTCCTACATGCCCTACACACACCAGGCAGGCTCCTGCCACATTCCATTCCTTCGGCCTGAAACGCTCTTCCCCAGATGCCCGCCTAGCTGCTTCCTCTTTTCCTGACCACCTACCCAAAATGGTGCCCCATTCCATCAGCCTCTAGTCCCTTCCTCTAGTCTGCTGAGTGTCTCCTCTACTAGCATAGAAGCTCCAGGAGGAAAAGCACTTTGTTTTGTTCATGCAGTATCCCCAGCACTGAGAACAGTGCCTGGCATATAGTAGATGCACATTAAATACTTGTTTCCTCAATTAATCAGGTTGGTTTTCCATCTAAAATCATTCTGTACATTTTCTTCTTTACACATGTCTATATTTTCCAAATTTTCTGCAGTAGCTATATATCACTTTTAGTCACAAAAAGCAATAAGTGAAGTCTTCTCCAGGACCGTTCTCTGGGAGACCCTCCGGGGTCTGAGTGGCACCAGGTCTGTCCTGAGCTGCTTGGAGCCATAAGGATACTGGGAGGAACCTCCAGTTTCTGATGGTGGATGGCGAACTCAGTGATGACAAGAAGCCCCTGTTTAGCCACCAGCACCTTGTCTTGGGATCAGTGGTGGGGAGCGCTGAGGAGGGGAGAGAGAAGTGAAAACAGAACCAGCAATAGCTGTGACATTCACCCTGCTCTCCTCTGCCTGGTACACACGCAAACATAAGCACTCCCAAGGATCCGGGCTCCCAGCGCTCTCCTCCAGAGAAGGCCCTGCTGCTGTGGGCTATGGTTTCACGGGCACAACCAGCTTTCCTCCCGCAGGTTTTCGCTCTCTTTTCTTTGGGGACTGTCTCTGGGCCTGGTACCTCCTGGCTCTGC